CATAAATTTTTGTTCGTCATAAGTATGCATAATTTGTATCTGTTCATATATAATCATAAACAATTTTATTTATTAAATTATATATAATTAGATATAAACTTTTTTTCCCTTAGGAGAGATTTTGAAAGATTTTATATAAAAATATTTTCTAGAAAAAATTTAAGAAAATGACATTTTACATTTTTAAAAAGTAATTGTTTTAAAATTATTATTTTTATTTGAAACACGTTGTCAGCGTTTGTTACAAGCAAAGAAAAAAAGGTTTATTTACCTGTGCACAATTGCTATCCATAATTTTATTCTACTGTGATACGTTTCTCTGCTTATCTTGATACTAACTCGGCAACTAATAGACCTTTAGAGAAATATTTTCCAGATCCATTCAAATCTGAACATATATAATCATATCGAGCGCATGCGTAGAAATATCAAGGAGGAATTAAATTTAAATAGATTATTATGAAATTTAAATAAATAAATATTAAATGATTGACGAGATTAATGATGATGAGGTCATAATAGCGCGTAACATTACATTTTTTAAGGTTCTTATTTTTTTTTCTTTTCAGTGAAATTTAAATATTTAATAAAATTTAAAAATATTTAATTAAATTTAAATATTTTTATTATTTATTCCTCGTTTAAAAATATATACGTAAAATCGTAAAGTACAACATGAAAATAAAAGTAAAAGTAATCATAAAATACAATTAAGTATGATCTATCTAGTTATTTATTTTCAATTTCAAATAAAAAATGTTGTGTTAAATTTTATTATGTTTCTTTCCATTGCGTGACTGAATACAACAGTGCTGTTTTAACACTCGAACTAAGTAATTAATCATTATTTTTTAGTATCTATTAAATTTATATAAGGGAGATTTTCTTTATATAATTAGTTCTTGTTCGTGATTTCTTATTGGATCTGAATATGTGATCTATCATGTTAAAATCATGTTAAAAAATCTTAAAAAATTTGCATAATTACTTTTTTTCCTGAACGCGATCGTTACGTCCGAGCTTCGGAGGAAAGGAAAGGTCGATTTGTTTAAGAGAGAGAGCTCGGGACGCATGGAACTGATTTTATTCTCTCAGATCGTTGTTGAGGCAACGACCTGCGAGTCGAACGCGCCCCTTTGAGCACAGGGTAACGGGTCAACGTCGATGACGCTATAACTCATGCTTGCTCTAGCGCGGTCGGTGATCCGTTTTTTGGTCAGAGAACCGAATCTCTTTAACCTAAGACAGGACCTCAATCCTTAGAGCGTGCAATCCTTAGAGCGGGAATGGTCGAGGTTTATTTAAATAAAGAATACGAATTTTAATTTTAACATTAAGTTTAATTAAATAAAATAAACAAATAGAATATAACGTAATCAAAGCAAAAATTTATTGGAAGTTACATTCGGATAAAAATGATAATAATAATAATTTATAGTTAACATTTCAATAATGTAGTCGTTTTCTTAACATAGTTCGATGTGCGTGTGCGTGTGCGTGTGCGTGCGTGCGTGCGTGCGTGCGTGCGTGCGTGCGTGTGTGTGTGTGTGTGTGTGTGTGTGTGTGTGTGTGTGTGTGTGTGTGTGTGTGTGTGTGTGTTGGAGATGGGAGGAAGATTTGATGGATTTATTAATTAAATTCGCGGATTCTCATGGTTGAAAGTGGGAACATTCTATAGAAGTATCGGACAGGGACTAAAAATGGAGGAACTCCGGGGATGTATACTGCGATGATGTCAAGGCGGTTCAATGTTACGTAATTTCGGAGTGCGGTTAAGTCAATGGATTCGGGGCCTATGGTAAATAACCCCGGGGGAAGAGTCTCGGTGGAGATAGGGAACTATGAGAGGATGTCCTGGAACGTAATTCCCCCTCGAAGACTATCGGCGGTACTGGTGGAACCTCTCCAACGAATTCCACCACCATGAAGCGAGGTGGCGATGGAATGCGAGGCATCGAGGCCCGTGAAAGTGAGGGAGAGGAGACAGGTGACAGAGTACGAGAGATCGAGACTTGCGAAAGTGAAGGGGAGGTTGTGCGGAAAACAGAGGACGGTGGGTGAGGCGTTGGGATTCGCGGCGATGGTGTGTGAGATGCGCGAGTCGAGGATTCTTCCGTTGAAGCGCGAGATCTGTCCTCGGACGACGGTGAAGCTCCGACGCTCGGATTGATGGACTCTAGGATTTGTTGATAGACCTTGATTTGAATCCAATAGTCTTCGCGCTCGCAATCTAACTTCCCGCCGTAGCCGTTTAGCCGTTTTACGGTTAACTCTTGAATTGTTCACTATCGAGTTTATGGATGTTAAGGTTGTGAAGATACCGCGGAAGGAAACCGGAAAAAAATAAATAATTCAACTTACTTTGAATATGTTGTGATGATAGTCCTGGTACTGGTCCGCCGGAACACACTCACTCGGATTGAAAAAACAAAAACGTTCGAGAACTCACTGTGAATGTTCACTGGGAAGATTCTGGGGAGCATAGTCAGAATTTTGGATAATAGAGAGGTTGCGATTGCAGAGAGTGAGACGCGTCAGAGTTGCAGTTTATGTAGGATTTTGGAAATACGGGGAAGTCCTAGGGCGTGTTCCTTACATCTAATTGAATTTTTGGATTTTAGGCCTTAACGACCTTTCGACATATTAAATCTAACTTATCAACTAAGGTGATATCTCGAAAAATACTTCTCGGCTTTTCCGGGTTGATTAAGTTGAGTTCCCGCCCTCGACTTTTGGGAAAGGGGAAATAAAAATATAAAAAAAGATTTACGATTTCCGTTACGCGATGACATTTTAACTGTTTATTACCCTGTTTTATGAGCCCGTTAGAAAAATTTCTATCTTTATTAGGCTTTCCCGTCCTGTTGGCGCCGAGACTATTTATTTAAGGAAGAGAAAAAACGTTTAGTGGGCAATAAAACTTTCGCCGAGAAACGAATTTTTCGAGATATTTCAAAGCCCTTCGAAATTGTTCAAAAGGAAGGAATTGTGGAATACGCAGGAACCCTTAGTATTAATTTATTTAGTATCATCATCAACAATCATGAATCACAATATAATTATCACGCGCAATATAGAAGAAACTAGATCTACATCTTATATAATGTTTTTAATAATGTAATTAAAACCAGGATTGGAAAATAACGCGTTACTTGTAACGAAGTTACAGTTAGAGTTATTTTTTTTTCAATAATTATAACTTAATTCCTTCATTCCTTTTTTCCTTTATAACTGTAACTTAACTTAATTACATTTTTTTTAGTAACCAATAACTAATTTAATAATTACTTTCATCGTTACTTTATATATTTCAAATTTATTTGTCATTTATTGCTATTGCACCATTCTATCCTTGTTTTATATTTAGTGATAAAATGACACAATGGCTACGTTCAGCAGAAAAAGCAGTTTTGCAATTGTTGTAAAAATCTTTGATATGATGAGTTTTTGTTAGTTTCTTTCTTAGTTTCTCATGGATTTAAATGTATAATCATATTTAAGAATCTTACACAATTGCAAAGCTGTTTGAGTTGAACACAGACAATAGCACTAACAGCCTGCTTCTCACACTTTTAGACTATGTTCGAAAACATTTGAGTACCCCATGTATCATTTTATCTTTGTTTTCACCGAATGTTAAACAAGAATAAAATGATGCGTAGGATTACGCATCAGATGACGTTTCCGAACTTAGTCTTAATGTGATTGATTAGATGTAAAATAAGAACCAATCAATTTCAACTGCTATTATAATAATTATAATAAGTTTAAAGTTTTAAATGTCGCTTAATGTTGCAATCAGTCCTTAGAAATATATTACGAGAAATATATTAGAAATATAAGATTTTTATATTTAAAATAGCAATGCACAAAACATTACATTTACAGGAAGTAAACAGAGAGGTAACTAAAAAATAACGACTCGTTACTTTTTGAGTAACTATAATTGTAACATGTTATTTTTAAAATCGGTAACGGTAACTAATTATTTTTTGAAAGGAAAGAACTATAACTGTAACTAATTACTTTTACAAGGTAACTTTCCCAACCCTAATTAATACTTAATGCGATATTAATGTTATAAATATAAATAAAATCTTTTCGAAATTGTTGACATGTTTGATTGCTTTATGTATTCATAAAAATTCATAATTTGTAAATAATTCATTAAAACGGCTAAAATCTTGTTTCTGAGATATATAAATCTATACCTTCTCAGAAACCTGATGTAATGGATAATTTTTGAAGTTACATTCGTATTCAGCACACTTGATTTATTAAAAAAAAAAAAAAAAAAAAAAAAACAATGACAAAAAAACAATTCTTATGGCAAAAGTGCAAGAAATTATTTAAAATTTGTAACATAATGTAATTGACATTCATAATTTTTGTCTTTGTTTTCGAATTTGCTTTTTCGAATTATATGCGATAGATTAAAATCAAGAGACATTAAATTATCTTTTCAAAGATTTAAACTATTAATAAGAGTTACGTTTTATTATATGTTATTTGTAACACGTATAAAAATTGTAAATAATTATACATCAGACGATAATTATATTATTAAACGATCACTATACACATCTTATCTTTATACATCCTTATCACATATACGCAAATATTAATATATTATAGATAGAATATAATATAAGAATATAATATCATGTAATAGAAATGCGAAGCGTTAAACTTTGCTGAAACTTTGAATTTGAACTTATTTTCCTGTTTTCAGTACCATAACATAACATATTACTTAGCAGTTTATCATTGCAAGTACATTATACTAATATTGTTTATCAATTAAGCGAAACGAAACCTTATTCGCGCTACTAACCATATACCGTGTTAATGCTATTCGACGACGATAAAGCATACAATACAATAATTTTATAATAATTTCACAATAATTTTTTTTTAATATTGTACAAAAATTTGTATAGTTATTTATTTACTATTTACGTTACTATTTATCGCTATGTATAAAACACATTTCTTTTGCTTATCTTAATTGTTGATTAACAATGAATGAAATTAAATGATTAATTATTAGGTAATTCTTTTCACATGTAGAATAGAGTTTTCACAGTATTGAGAAGAAAGACAAACGTCTTACCTTGAATATTAAATGAAATGTTAATAATAAATCCTTGAATATTATTTACTTTGAATATTAATAATAAATACTTTGAAATGTTAATAATAAATCGATAACATGCTTATTTTTACCGATATTTTATAAATAATACAATAACATACTGGATAATTATATATAACTGTAAAGAAAACATTTTATTCGCAAATTTATTTCGAATTAATCAAAAGATGTTTTTCGCATTTGTTAACTCCAATCTGCGTCAACACCGGTGTCGCAAAAATCTACCAAGCAGTGTATCGCATTATCGGGAAATAGTCTGAAATTTAAAGTGCTTATTTATTTTACTATTACCTTTCTTACTTGTATATATTGTAGAAGCCGAATATACGTTTAACACGAGAATAAAATTTCGTCAATAGTCAACAAGGCAAGATCTTTGGCGCCTTATAATCTTTTTATTTTGTGATTTCATCTCATCTTGAATTTATATGTAAATGCAATATTTATATATAAATTATAAATTATAAATTATATTATATAAAGAAATAAAAAGATTATTAAACGCCAAAAAGCCTATCTTACCGAGTGTTGCCGGTATTCTATTCTCATATTACCTTTATACATTATATCTTCTTCAGAGTTAGTACAATATTCTTATTCATTTATATTTATTTTGTATAATTTGTTATAATCTAGTTACCTTATTGTCGAGTTGATTGATAGCCAGTGTGGAGGCACAGATCTTTCGCGATATTCGCGTCTCTGTGCCTGAATTATTTGTGAAGCTGCTTGCCCCGGTAAAACCAGTGGCATGGCATTCGGGAACCTGTTAAAATTAACATATTAATTAATATATTATCAACGGTAATTAAAATACTAAAGATTCAACAATAATTTAGACTTTTGTTAAAGTTGCTGAAAAGTCAGATTTAATAAAAGGCCTAGATTTAATAAAATGAACTGCCGATTAAAATTAAATTAAAATTAAATTTTATTCCACTATGTTTATCTCTAATGAAATTATAAGAAGCTCACCTCGCATCCAAAAATCTAGTCTGCATGTAAAAAATATAACTAGTAATAATATGCAATATATAATAATATGCAATTATCTGCATAAATCAATACTACACATCTGCCACACATTGGCTCATAAGCAAATTTCACGAAAATGGGTATGTTTAATTTTACGAATTAAATATTCTTACATAATAACGTAAAAAGCGTAAAAAGCAGTTGTAGAAACATACAAGGCAGTATGACGGATTGCTCATACGTGCAGACGCACAGAATCGTCACGACTACGAAAAACTCCGATAGCGTAATCACTTACATATCTTTTTCCTAATAAAGTTTCTAACGTTTCAAGTTGTAACACGGTTGATTATGCTGCCAAAGCCTATTCAATTATGAAACTGCGCGCACTATGCATAAGCAAATCGTATTATCTTGTATGTATCCTGCTGTAACATCTTATAGACTTCGCTAATCAAACGACCATGTATATTATATACAGGATTATATAACTGTTGTAACTATTGTAACTGCTGTTTAGATAATTTTATCATATACTTACTTCATTTTCGGTTTCTTACAAAGTCCTGTATCTACCATGTACGGATAAATAGTAGTAAATTTAATTAAAGATTTGCCTTTACTAGTTATCCGCAATTCCTCGCTAATTGATTCCATAAGTCCTGCAACATTTGCATTAATGAATTAAGAATGACGGGATCGTTTTAAATGTTTGCGTGTTACAATGGTTAAAATCAATGTTAAATTCGAAATAAATACGGACTGATTTACCTCTAACTGCGAATTTCGAAGCGCAATAGGGGACTAGATTTGGAAGTCCACCAAGACCAGCCAGTGACGATAACGCAACCACGTGACCATGATTCTTTTCGATCATGCTCGGTAAAAATGCTTGCAGCATCTAGATGTAATAGAAACAATTAGAACTCAAGTATAACAATATAGATAATGAATAATGGCTTGTAAGTTTAAATAATATTATATCTTGTTTTATTTTAAAACAATATTGAACCATTATATTCATTAAAATGTAATAGATAGCACGTGTGTACCTATTATATATATATATATATATATATATATATATATATATAGTAGTATATGTACATACATTGTGTGTGTAATTCTTTTATTAGGAATATATTCAATTATTTATATTGACTTTTTAATTGCATTCATCGCCGAATATAATAAAATATCCATATATCCATCAGTAAACTTTGTTATGTTTGTCTGCTGTTAAACAAAGTCAGTCTTACAAATGTATAATAAGTAGCTTTGTATTACAGCAGAAAGAATCAGATAATAAAGTGAGCATTTTTATTTCTTATAGTAATATGTTTCAATCTTGTTTTTCAATATTTCGTTCTATTATATTGATTTCTTCCTATTATTTGATGTAAATATGGAGTCAGCTAAAATGTATTTAAATACGCGGTGAATGTATCAACTTACCCAGAAGTGGGCTAGTACGTTAATATCAAAGATCCGTGTTATTTCATCGCTCGTATGATCGAGAAATGTGTGGCAAGGCATTATTCCGGCATTGTTAACTAAAACAGTGACATCGCCGACTTCCTTTTTGACTCTTTCGGCTACGTTGAGAACGTTCTCTCTTTTCGACACGTCGCATCTGTAAAACAAAATAAAAATATTTTATTTTTAATATTATCTTGAATACATTTTGATCGGATGTGATCGGTGCATCATCGCACCATTACATTCTTCCAACTTTATTGCACAGAAAATATATTTTATTATGGAAAATAAACGACATAAACGTACTGATAAGCGTATGCAGCGGTTACTCCATTCTTTTTTATTTCGTTCACCGTCTCTTCGTTTGCTTCTTGATTCACGTCCCAGCAGACTACTGTTGCGCCTAACGATGCATAACGAAGGGCCAATTCTTTTCCAATACCGTGACCTGTGCCTGTTATCTATAAAAGATTTAATACAGTATATTATATTGTTTATAAAAATCCTAGTATTTCTACTTTTTGAACTTTATTTCCTTAAAAATTTTCCGAGTATAAAGATAATAATTATCATCCATTTTATCAATTAAGTGCAGAAGTAGGTATTGATTATTAAATCTATAATTATTCTCATCATTTTTTATTTAGAACCTCGTAATAGCGAATCTCAAACTAGCGCGCTAGTCTCCATATATGTCTCCATATATGTTAAATGCATGTGAGAGTGCGTTCGGGGAGCTTACTACCTGTACGCTGTATTATCAACGCTGCAACCCCATTCACGGAGCCAAAATAGCGCTAGCAAATGCGAACTCCATGCGAACAGCGGTAGTGTAGTGAGTGTAGCATTAAAAGTATAATCCATTCCAAATCTTCATTCCAAAGAACCAAAGAAAATTAAAAAAATTTTAATTTTAAAATAGAAAAAGTTAAAATAAATTAATTTAAATTAAATTTTAATCTATTAATTTTAAAATTTTTATCGAAATTTAGCAGAAACTTCAAAATCTTCGGATTAATAGATAATTCACACGATACAGCGGTAACAGACAATTCACTAGTATTAATTAACTAGTATTCATGAAGCTGGCAAACGCTAACTACCAAACGCTACTAATGCACTAGCTCGGAAGCGATAGCGTTGATAGCGCAAAGTTATGACGTAAAAACGCTACCGATATGACGCTAACGCTAGTGTTTGGTAGCTCTATCAATTTCTTTTCCAAACAGTAGTAGTGTTAAATAGCGCTAATAGTGAGCTCCTCGAACGCACCTTAAGTAGCGCGAGTAGATATAGCGATACGATCACACGTATCAACGCATATCTGTTGCTAAGATTATAGAAAAATCCTTGTACTCGCTACGCTCCTGAATTTCACGGAGTGAAATGAAGAAACCGAATTTCGGTTTGAGAATAAATTGAAGGCAACCTCGTTATTGCAAGGTTCAGAACTCCGAATCACGCGTTATTAGGAAGCGTTATCCAATGCGCCCTCCTCCCTCCACACACGCACACACATACACACAGAGCGAAAGGGAGATTTTATTTTAAACTATCACATATCTGGAAATCATGTAGAAAAAAATGTTTCATATAAATGTTAGAATTTCAAAGAGGGCACTATCATGATATCGATTCATCCGCGGATAATAACGCCATTGTTGAGAATTATTATGGAATCATATATTTTTTGGTACATGGAATGATTTCTCTAGTCTCTAGTCCCAAATAAGAAGGGAGGGTGTGCGTCACGGCGGGGCCCGACCACGAACCAGTCGTGAAAACTCGTAATTATTTTGCGAAAAAATACCACCTCAGCCAGGAATCGAACCTGGATCTTCTGCTTGCCGGGCAGGCATCTTATCCTTTCGACTACCGAGGCATGTGATGATATTTATCGCAAATAACGTGTTTAGAATAACACGTCAACAATACAATGATACATATATATATAT